TCACTACGTAGCCGTAGACATTGAGTCAGAACAAACAAAATTTGAGCAGCAGATTCTTCTTTTTTTTTTTTTTGCAAACACAAAAGCTGCAGGTCACAGTGGGAGTGGAGGTGGGGGACGTGTGGGGCTGCGTCACTGTCATAAGATGGACTGATGGTGACAACTGTGACTGAAATGTTGACTCCTGTTTGGCAGTTTCAGCAGGTGTGTGTGTGAGAGAAGCAGCCATTTCATCACCTGATCGTTCAATCTGCTCTGAAAGCCACACAGGCCAGGAAGATGACTTTGGTAGTTGATTGATTGACTGCCCGACACATCATGACTCATAATTTATTAGGTATAGAGCAGAAACAGGAAAGTTAATCAACAGAAAATTGTTGGCAACATTTTTTATAATTATTTAAGTAACTTTCTGAATAAAAAAAATGCCAAAAACTTGTTATTCCTTTTTAATTTTGAATATTAGTGTGGTTTCTTAGTTTTCTATGATAAATATAAATGAATGTTGTTGAGGTTTTGGCTGTTGGTCAAGGAGAGGGCAGTACTCTGACTTTTTATTTAACTAAGAGTAGAAAGATTGTCAAATGATATCTCTGTGACGTAGCTGCAAAGACGTTTGAGAACAGGAACCAATCAGTGATCAGTTTCAGATCAGCCGATACCAATGACATTAAAGCAGTGATCAATACCGGCCCTAAAAGGCCTAATGATAGCAAGACATTCATCCATCAAACTTTCCAGACACAAAATGTACCAAGAACTTATTTTCCATCTAACATCCACACACCCTTCACCTTTAAGGCGGAATTAACTATTCCTGTCTTACTTTGAGACTGATTAATGATTTCTTAATGTCATCTGCATGACAAATAAGGTCTTAAGCTTTGTTTGTCTAGCCTATCTTTTTCCCTCTGGTTGCTGAATTCAACTTGATCTACAACCTTTTCATCAAGCTGAAACTGGCTGTTATCTCACATTCAGTATGTTCATGAACATAAAGGCAGCCCCCAAAGTAAAAACGGGAAACAAAGCAATTATTGACAGAATTTCTATGTACTCATCAGCAACCGCGGTGACCCTCGGTATTATTATTCGATAAGGTGGTCAATTTAGGCCTCTTATCAGCTCTGAGGCTTTTAAACTCCAACTAAAATGTCAACACACACTTTTAAAGTCGTGGCAGTTACAGAAAAAATGACGCTGTCTCACCCAATGCTTTATCCACCTTTTTAATAACCTGCATATACAGTGGCTGAGATAACCCTCCGCACCTGATAAGGCTTCCAATGAAAGAGCTCAGGCTGTTCATCTGAGTGACGTTATTGTGTAACTTTTTACGGCTCGCACAAAGAGGTGTGAGCTACTGTTAAACGTGTGTCATTAGACAGAAATAAAAGTTTCTACAACTTCTGGTTTGAATGTTTGACACTCGTGCTTGATGAGCCGACCTTGAATAAGCCTGATGTGGTTAGACAAGTGTATCCATGGTGAGCTGCCACGGTGACCGATTTATATAAAGTCATAATCCAATTACGTAACAAGCTATCGATCATTTGCTCTAATAAGTGTCTGAAATGTCAAAATACTTTGTCTGATTTCAGATGATACCATGAAGATAACATTGTGTGTGTGTGTGTGTCTGTGTGTGTTTATGTCTGTTTGTGTGTGTGTGTGTGTGTGTGTGTGTGTGTTTATGTCTGTTTGTGTGTGTGTGTGTGTAATATGATGTGCTGTGTCCAAACATCTCTTTTCAAGATGGCCTTGGGCAGCAGTGTGATGAAAACAAGTCCTGTCTCCTCTCTATTACCCCACAGCCCACACTTATCAATAGCACTCCCCACCCCTCTCTCTCTCTCTGTCTCTCTCTCTCTCTCTGTCTCTCTCTCTCACTGCAAACAGACCTGCTGCTGTTTTCCTCCTGCGGATCCTCCTGACCCAGGAGCCACGAATTGTACTTCAGCAAGTAAACAAACCTGAGTCAGAAGAGCGCACTTTTAAATGATATAGAGCCTGTGATGCAGTGGCAAATATAAAAAAAAGGAGGGTAAACTACATCTTCAAGTTGATCTTTAACCTGCCGGCTATCATTACATAAACAAAAATCTGTTTAGTTTTTTTTTTGTGTGTGTGACCGACACTCCAGAGCCCAATTATATTAAATTACAAATAATATAAAACACAGAGAGGGAGCAGAGCTTCACATCTGAGAGGCTGGAACCAGAGAAGATATTGCTTGATCAAACAACTGTAACTATTAATCCATTATCAAAGTAGTTGCAGATAAATCAATAATAATAACTGTTTCTGTATCTCTTCTGTATTATGAATTTACTTACCATTTTCACGGGTTATTAATCTGCTTAAAGGCTGCATATAATGATTATTTTCACTATGGATTAACCTGTCTATAATTCTTTCTTCTAGTCACTTAATCATTAGGTCTATGAAATGTCAGAAAATGGTTTTCAAATTGATTATTTTGTCAGATAAACATTGGAAAATATATTTTTTTCTGATAATTAACCAATTATTAAATCTGTAAAATGTCAGAAAATAGTGACGAACTGCTGTCACGTTTTTTTTTTTCTTAATTGACCATCCTATCAAATAATTGTTAAAAATAATGACTCATGTTCTTCACAATAACACCTCAGAGGCAAAACTGCTTTATAAGAATATGAAATGGAGAAAAGCAAGTAGCTCTTTATATTTCTGTAACTGGGACAAGAAAACTTTTGTTATTTTACTAAAGAAATTATCAAATTAATAATTATCATTTGGATATTGTCTATTTTAAGAAAGGAAAACTAGTGTGTGTCTTTACTTTATAAATTGCTTTATGAATAAGTAAAGACACAGGGTTTGCCTACTATTACACAATACATCCTTCACTGTGAGAGAATAACACTGTGTACAATCTGTTTTCCACACCATTATGAAAACAACAGCACAGAGCCCAGTCTCATGTTTACATCCTGTTTCAGGTGTAGTCATCCAGCAGCAGCAGCAGCCCTGTTGCAAAGCAAACTAGAGCTTGGGCAAATAGTATTTGCATCCAATTTTAATGGCTTGTTTCGTCTAATAAGCTGCGACACGGGTGGAGTCAGCGTCTAAAGGCATGAAAATGGGTTAAGCTAACCATAGCTTAGTATTCAGTGTAAATCAACTGTCATGATCTCTTACATCTCACCTGCCCGGAGCTAAAAAGCAGGTCAGAGAGCGATGATGGCGTTTTAAGAGACACATTGATGTATGGCAGCAGCTGGTACATGGCTGTAAACATCATGTTTAAGACTCTACGACTGAAGGCAGACATGACACAAGTTTGCATGTCGCTTTAAGTGACCCAGGGTGCAGTGAGGCTACATGTTAGATGTGCAAACAAAGCCCAAGGCCGTGTACCTGAGCTCTGGTTAACTCAGGCGAGACCCCTCCTCCCCCTCCTCCTCCTCCTCCTTCTCTCCACTCCATCCCAACAAAGAACAAATGTCCCCAATAACAGCCTCTATTCACTCATTAACTTCACCTGCCCATGTGCAGTGTGCTCAGTTTGTGATGGAAAGTTTCAGCTTGGTTCCCATGCAGGGTCACATTTACAGCACCGTGTGAGAGACGCATCGAAACATTACGGAGTGTGTTGTTTTTACACAAGTACACTCGTCATGTACACAGCTGTAGGACCATTGAGCTCATGTCCTCAGTATTATTTCTGTGACTTTGAGGACTTTATGGTTTAGTTTACACACTTCTAGGGCTGAAGCAATTCATCAATTATCCGTTTAGTTGACTGAAAGTTATATTGGACTGAATTCAACTTTGCTGTCATTGCACGCATCAGTGCAACACAACAGAGTTTAGCATTTAACCAGATACATAAAGATAAATTAACGTACAGAACGAACAGTAGGTCAGTGGGGTGCTGATAGTAGGCTATGAGTATACATAAATACACAAAACAATATACAAAATGTGAAGTACAAATGAATGTCAGTAATTTAATATAGTGTGTGCAGAATCAAATAAAACGGCAACTAACAATCCATTAATCATTTAAGTCACTTTTTAAACACAACTATCATACATTTACTGGTACCAGCTTTTTAAATGTGACTATTTCCTGCTTGTCTTTGTTTTACATCAGTGTAAATTGAATATCTGTGGGCGCTGGACTGCTGATTAGACAAAACATAGTTTGAATATGTCACCTTGGGATCTAGGAAACTGCATTTACCACTTAATAGACAAAATGGATTCATTCGGAAAATACTCAACATTAAATGATGATAAATGATAATAAAATGAAAGTAATCTTTAGTTACAGCCTTATTATACAATTAAAACCTCACATAGTTTTAAGTATTTTATAGCTTGATTCAAGTATTTTTTAGACTTTTTAGATTGACGTTTCTTGACTTTACCATTTAAATGTATTTCCCAACCTGAATTTTGAGCAGGATGTTGGGAAATATACAAAAGAACAGTTAAATGAAACAATAACATATTAAAACCATTAAAAAGGAATTATAAACATGTAGAGAACTTGCTTTTGTTTCCTCGGGGCGCTCATACCTGCCCATATAAAGTACATACAATATGTATTTTATTAATGAATTTCTTCATAGTCATTATGCGCAACAGGTGTAGCCTCACATCTCTATTATCAGTGCTTTACATTTAGTCAAAGCTACTCAAACATTAGCTAACAATTAACGCTCTTTACAGTATTATCATGTGCTGCGGCAGCACTTCAACAAACACTCATTATTCCTGTAGCTGCCTTGTTCTGTGTAATATCCTGAAGTTGTTGTATTGTTTGAAGCGGCCACTCGCCATATGGCTGCTCAGTGTTCACCTGCTGCTGCCGTGAAGCTGGTTTAACACAGGTTTAATAACGTAACGCTTCCACACTTTTAATGCTGTTTAACGTGCAGTCAGAGCGGTGTGTTCATGTAAGCGAGACACAAAGAGGAGCAGAGAAAGCTAATGTTGTTTCTACCTACCTGTTGCGCTAAGCGAAGGTGTGGCACTTTGCCCAAGGTATCAAAAAAGCTCGGATAACTTCAGTTGTCATTTAACTTGTTTCTCTTCCGGTCCTTTAATGGGTAGAAATTAGAAATGCAAGTGGGAAAAGTAGAAGCTCCGGTCAACGTCTTCAGCTCGAAAACGACTTCCTACTCCTGGTTAGAGTTGTGGTGACTCCACGGTCCCATGTCTCCCTTTTGAACAGCGGTCTGCTGATGGGTAGTTAGTCTGGGAAACTACTGGACCAGTGTCAAGTACATACGGTGTCACACTGTCTACTGTTTCCTCTCACAACTTTCACAATAAAACACACACACACACACACACACACACACACACACACACACACACACACACACACACACACACACACTGAACTTATAAGTAGCTATGATGAAGCGAACTTTACAAAGTCATCTTGTGAACCTATTCATTCTCAAAGGCACTTTTGTTGATGTTTCCTTTATAATAATTTGTTCTTGAATTAATTTTGCTTTGTCGTTGATTTGATATTTCATATTCACATACTTTTTTGTTGTATTTTTATAAATTATAAAGCATTTTTCAACTTTGGTTTAAAACGTTTTATAGTTTTATTTTCTTAAAAAGAGCAAAAGTCAAGCTTTAATAATCAAAAACATTAAAACAATGATAAAATAATTTGACCTCTGGAAGTCCTTGGAATCGCAAGGGACCACAAGCCAAAACCCCTATTAGCTTGATATAATATCAAACTTTTCTTAACAAGTGGCACATTTTAATTGACTTTTTATTTACACCTGTGGTTATCTGCCTACTAGTAATGACCACCTGGGGGTCATGATTTACCTGCTTTTATATTTGGCTCTTCACCAGCATCTCTAAGTGTGACTGTAAAACACCACATGGGCTTTAATGTACCTGACTTCCTGTCTTGACCTAGAAACCTGTGTCGAGCTTGACACAGCTTAACCTGACCTGCCTCTTCACAGTTACCATGGTTGATCATATGACTTGGATGCGATTAGAGTGAAATCACCCCTTAACACTTGCTCTCCACTTAACAAAACCTGGCTTCAGCCCAGAAAGGGGGAAAAAGAAGAAGAGATATTATAAGTTTCTGAGTCTGACACAACAGTTACACTTCAAATGTGAACAAAAATGTTATTATTATTATTATTATTATCATTATTACTAATATAACAGCATTTTTTTGCACCAGGAGTGACACATTCCCACTGTAAGAAATATATATCATATGTTTAACTCTGCATTAAAATTGTTCAAGAGAAAAAATCTTTTCAAGAATATAATATATATTTAATATATTATCGGCTGAGGATATGAAATGAATGAATGTGTTGTTTTTTTGCAGTGCAGAGAGGAGACAGTTTCGTGTGAGCTGATAGGCAAATTACTTCACCTGCAGATGACACACAACTGAAAAACCAGTTTGAGTGTTTACATGTGCACACACAACTTAATCATGGATGGGAGTCAAAAACACAAATAACATCCTGCATTTGAAAGTTATTTGGCACTGATTCATGATGTTATTATCTATATCAGAAAAGTGTGAGCAAATTGGTTACAAAGCTCTGTATGATTGTTTTATTGATTGAGTTAATTCTTAAAAAGTAAGTGCCATTGATGAAAAACCTCTCCGACAGTCCAGCTGCAATAAGTTGGATATGTATATGTATATATCAGGTGTATAAATGGATGCATGTCTATTCATGTGAGCTTGTTATCATGTATAAACATTATCTCATGACTACATATGTGTGAGTGTGAAGGTGTGAGGGTTTTCAGACGCAGGCTTTTGGAAAGGAAAAAATTCTCAGAATATCACTGAAAAACACTGGAGACGTTTTTCCGCTCCGGCTGCGGCTGACAGGATGGTGGAAAAATATTCAAGCGAACACACAAAACATGACAACAATGTGACACATCAGATGCAAAATAGAGATTTTCAAAGATACAGGACAGTGGTGCTGCATAAATGCCTCCCATCTGTGTTTTCACTCTACTGCCTTCTCTCCTTCTTTTATTTATTTATTTATTTACATTTTTACAGAGAAGAATGGAACTATGACACGACTGAAAGCGAATTGCCAGAAGTTATGATGACAGACTATAAATAAACAGTTAACATTTGAGAAAGATGGTTTTTAGCTGAGTTAAATGGGAAGCGCAATACAGCTGTCATATCTGATGATCTATGTATAGCCCCCTGTACAACCTAGACTTGTTGTTTACACTTTGTTGTTTGGTATTTGCATTTTTTCCAACCAAAATTCAAGCTATTCCTTTAAGAATAAAGCTAGAGCTAGGTGATCGTTAGCTTATCTCAGCATAAAGGCTGGAAACTGAATTTGCACCGCTCAGCCAAGAAATAGTTCAACACATAACCTAAACTAAAACCACAACATCTCATGTTCACACGTCAGCTTTTGCACATATATATAACATGTTAATTAATACACTCAGGCAGATACCTTCAGACAGAGCCTTCTCCCTGTTTTCAGTCTCTATGCTTACCTTTATGCTAACTTAAGCTAACCCTCTCCTGGCAGCTAGCTATTGACTGCACAGACATTAGAGTGGTTTCAATCTTTTCATTTAATTCTTGGCAAGAAAGTGAGTTAGCATATTTTCCAAAATCTCAAAAACTTGCCTCCATCTGCTGATGATCATGTGATGTGACTGAAAGCTCCAGAGCAGCTACTAAATGAACCGTGTGGTGAGATGATGTTTTCTCAGCTGCTGTTTCCAAGGTCCAGAATAACTAAAACAAAAACAAAGATTAATCTGTGATTCTGAGGAAACGCTGACACTGTTGTGTTGAACCTTTCTCCTACTAAAACAACAAGACATAATTTGAATCTCTATCTTGGGCGTGCACCACCTCAGACTAAATCTTCCTGTTCGTCACTACTGTAATTTTGAAAAGCTTTTCATACCGAGAGTAATAACTTTGGTCCGTTGTCAAACATTGCTGAATCTCATCATTGTTGGGCTTTAGCAGTGAAGTGTCAGTCATCAGAAAAATAAATGGACTTAGCCATAGCTGGAAAAGTATTTGCCTTTAAAACTGTCTCTAACAATATACAGGATTGATTTGTTTTAATTATTTAAACTGAATGGGAGAGTCTATGGGAGAGTAAAAGATTGTGCAGAAGCTTTTAACTGCTTTGTGAATTGTCCAGTGTCTATTCCTGTTTCATTTCCTCCTCTGCCCTGTACGTTAAAAAAAAAAAAAAAAAAAAAAAAAAAAACCCCAACAGCTTCACAGAGTGGACGCTCTTATCTTTTTCACCTATCAGGGGCAAACAGATTTTCTAACATCTCCCATTTCCTATCTGTTCACCTGAAATCAAAATAGAGCAACAGCCTCTGAGAAGAGAGCCTTCACATATCAGTGTCTCTCCTCCCAGCATGCTTCAGAAGAATTAGGTCAGGGCTTGTTGGTAGTTATCTCTTCTAACCGAGGTCTAGTGTTGAGGTAAGGGGGAAATGCGAGGGAGGGATACAAAGATAACGGGGATGAAATGATGGTTAATCTTTAGCTGTTGTGTTTCAGTGATTGGATTTGTTATAACTCACCTGTGCAATAAATTTAAAAAAAGGCACTTTGCCATGTGTGAGCTTCGTCTTTGAGCGGCCTAAAATTGGTACGACTTCCCTGTGCAAACATGCCAGATTTGATGAAAAGTTGGCTTTTAGTTTGTCAAACACAGGCTACTCAGAGAATTTGGAGTATTTTTTTTTAGCATATTACCTACAGGTTTCTCCTTCCACAAATTTCAGCTGCCAGTAATGTTGTAATGTTAAAGTGTTTAAGTCGTGGCTGGTTTATCTAGCCTGCCATAGAGAGAGAGAGAGGGGCGGGGGGTGGAGGGAGATATGGGTGACTCATAGGCTTCCCCATCACTGAAAATACAGGTTGCAGTTGGAAAAAAAAAAATACAAAGATGACAAAAGGAGGGCCCTGGCTTATAGAGTAAACGCCACTGACAGTGAAGTGGCTATTCTTGGGCTGTGTAAATAAGAGGCAAAATCACACTGTACCTACTGTAGGACACACACACACACACACACACACACACACAGTGCATGACCTATGGAGACCTCCTGCTCAACAAACAAGTGGTGTAATTATATGCCTGTGTGGCGCTGCAGGTGGAATGTGCTAGCGATAGTCAAGCCCTTGTTGTCATAAGGACTGGAAGCAGCCCCAATAGCCAACAGACATGAGCTCACCATCATTACAATGAGAGGCGTGGCTAAGCCCGTCACCACTGTGGACCCGATGTTGCCGTGGAGACAGGACACACACACACACACACACACACACGGGCTCACGAATGCACACACGCGCTCGCACACAGATTGGCTTAGAGTGACACCACTGGGAAATTAAAATGGTAGCCCAAAGCAACAGGATTTTATTGGCCAATCACAGCTTGATCTTGGATGTGTTTACCTTGCAAGTTTGTGTGCGGCAGTGAGTGTGCACGAGTGTGTTTGTTTGGAGCAGGGCCCCGTACAGGTGCGCTGCACATGCATCGCCTAATTATACTGACAATGTCAGCCAGTGTTGGAGAAATATTCACCACGCTTGTCTGGCATTCGGCATCAAGCACAGACGAGCAATTACTGGCCTATCAAATCATTTTACAGCTCTGTTCCCCCTCTCTCTGTTTGTGTGTGTGTGTGTGTGTGTGTGTGTGTGTGTGTGTGTGTATGTGTGTGTTTTAGGCTGTCAGCATTGTCAGTGTTTTCTGTCTCCAGGAAAAAATAAACATGAATTACCTGTTTCACAGCATGCAACTTAACTTATTGCTACTGGTACTTCAGTACTGAGTTAATTGTAGCCAATTAGACCAAAGCTTATTCACATCAGTCTTTGTCTTCTCTGAAATCAAAGGCTGTAAATAAAAAGACTTTCATGTCTAAAAGCAGACACATGATTGCAATGTCTTGTAGCAACCACTAATTACAGTGAAAAGCTTGAGGCGATGGAGTGGAGGCAAAAAGTGAACCATTTTATTACATTAAAATGTTTCATACAAACAATGCATACACACTAGTTTCATATTGCTTCAGACATAAGTTTCTTTTCTGTTTGAATTCCAGTTAAACAACTCTGTAACAAAATGTAAGTACAACATTTATGAAAATATAAATCTCTAAACAGGTAAGTCAGTCCTGACAATACAAAGAATACCATAGAAACATT